AGCACCGTGTACAGGTTGTGAGACAGCACCTGGCCAAGCACAGGGGTGGTGAGAAGGTGAGCAGCCCCCAGCCCTGCCCCAGCACATGCCCAAGGTGCCACCCCCCAGTCACTCCCTTGCATGGCTTCACCTCCCTGCAGCCACAGCATCCAGGCAAGGCTTGGCTTTGGCATCATTTCCAAATGTAAATTTTAGAGAATCATTTAGAAACAGGCAAAAATGGAGGATTTTCCCACATTCGTTTCTTTTCTTGGCACAGGAGGAACTTCTTTCTTGAAAGGGCTGTTTCAAACCTCTCAGAGCAAACAGGACTCGCTCTGATCTAGAAAAGCTGATAAGCCACCCCGAGCTATGCATTTGGCACAACCAGGCCCAGCCTGGTACCGTCTGCTGGGGACACAGAAAGATGGAAACATGAAAATAGGAAAGACTGGTGAGAAACTAAGCAAAGGTTTTGTCTGGAATGGAGATCTGGAGACACACCATGCCCAGAAATACGCAGCAAGGCTTGCCAACAGCCCCCTTTGTTCAAATCCCCCCAAAAAAGCACGTTTACAAGCTCATGGATTTCCCAAGAGCTGGAAAGCCTGGAGCAAGGCTGCCCATGAGCACCAGCAGCATGTCCAGCTTGTGATGCTCTCCTTGCCTTTACATCCCAGAAGCAGGAGATGGTTAAACAGACTGACACCTCCCCACTGCACCAGGATCTGCCAATGCAGCTCGATGGGCTGGAGGAGATGGAACAGCATCCTCTGAGCAGGGCTGGAAATTTCCTCCCAGCAGCAGAGGAGCTGCCCCAGGCCACGATGGCTGCTGCAGCTGGAGACAGTTCTTGCTCGACCAGATTTTCATTCTCTTTTCCACCCTCTGGACCAATGGGATCAGCAGGACTCCACCCTGTGCTCACACAGCAGGGCTGTAGCCCCAAGCACTGCTGCTACACTGGTGCCTTTTGGGGCTCAGTGCAGCCCCAGGGTCCACACAGTGGTGGGAAGGCCTGGGAATGTCATGGACACCCTCCAGGATGGTAACAAGTCCATCAGGATGAATTCAGAGTTTGGGAATCGTATCCATTCAGTGTTTCCAACGTGGTCCCTCATCTCCATCCTTCACCCCTCCTCGCAGAGCACCCCTAAAAATCCCTGTGAGGTCTCACTTGTGACCCTGGCCGTGGGGGACACCCTGAGCCCCTCCATCCATCCATCCATCCATCCATCCATCCATCCATCCATCCATCCATCCATCCATCCATCCATCCATCCATCCAAGGTTTCTCCTGTCATGGGGCTGTCACTGACAAATGGGGAGGGAAGCCCTGGCCTGGTCAGTGGTGGCATGGCCAGAGATGGGAGAGCTGAGAAACCCTTGAGGGCTCTGAAACAGTGACAGGAGGAGGAGAACAGCAGGGAGAGGGATGCTAGGAAAGCAGTTTGCAGGCACCTAACCCTAACCCTAGCCTTTCCCCTGTGGCCAGGGGTCTGCCTGACTCCTCCTAGTGCCCTGCATTCCCGTGAGCAGCAGCCGTGTTTGTGCTCTCCACCCTCTCCCACCGCTGGCACACCCATCACCATGAGCAGAGGTGCCCAAAAGCACCAGGGCAGTGCTGGGTGTTCCCAGCCATGCATGGCCACACTGAGAGACCACACCCCAGCCAGGGAGGGGATGCACTGTGGATGCCATGGGACAGACAGAGAGAAACGGCAAGCGTTTCTCACAGCGGCTGGTGAGACGTCTTAAAGAGCTAGAAAGATGTGATAACTTGTTGACTATAAACAATTTGCAAGTGGTGTTTTTCTACTTTGTTTTTCTTCGAAAAAATAAAGTAGAAAAACTCAAAGACAGTGCATGAGGAAGATGCTTCTGTTAGTTAGCCAATAGAACAGAACCTATCGTACCACTCTACAAAAACCACGTAGTTCTTTTGGATAAAGCTTCTTTGCCTTTGCTATGATCCTGCCTCTCGCCTGCTCCTGCCCTGACCCCAGCCCAGGAGCGACAATACAATGGCACTGAGAGCACAAACCCTGCCAGGAGCGGGGCTGTGCCTGTGCTGGGAGCAAAGCTCCCCGAGCTGTCGGGGTGCGCAGCACCCGAGCGACCGCAAGCTGTCCTTCCTTCCTTCCTGCGCACGCACACACACACACACACACACACACACACTGCCAGGGTGTCTGCACACGCCTGCCCGCTCTGAGGTGCCCCTGCAAGGAACACAACGGCTTCCCACAGCTGGGTGTCCGTGCTGGAAACCCTGACAGGTTCACAGCACTGCCCGGAGCTGGGTTTAACACAGAGTATGCAGCACGGCCTTTAGCACTCTTCTTCTTAGCTGAATATGCCAACATCATGCTCATGAACACACTAACTGCTATTCTGTTCGTTAAGCCAAGCCTCTCAACCTCCCTCAAGAGCTATTCTCTGTTGGACTAGCCACAAAAGTCCTGCTCCTATCAGCAGGATTCCTACGAGTTCGCTCTGCTCTCCCACCCAGCTCTGGGGCTGGCTCTGTCCTCAGTGCAAGCCCGGTGTCTCCCACCCCTGCTCAAGACCCACATGCCCAGGTGAGGGAGCAGAGCAGAGCCCAGCTCAGGGCCCAGCAGCCCTGGAGGGCTTTGGAGAGGGCTGAGTGGCTTTAACATTTCATCACTCAGAGCAGCGGGACCCCGCACTCCTCCCTCACTGAACCGCGGCTGGCCTGTGTAGGCTGGGGCAAACTCGAGCGTTTCTGTGGGTGGAAACAGGCTCTGCCTGGCCTGGAGACAGGGGGAAAGCCATTCAGAGCTGAGCTGTGCTCTTCAGTGACCTGCTGCCAACCCATCCCGTCACTGACGGTGCGTGGGAGAACATCCCTTCCCCTCTCAAGTGTCCCCCTGGGTAAAGTCACTTTGGAGGTGCCATGCCCAGCATCACCACAGCCACAGACCCTGCATGAATTCTCCATGAAACTGCCATTAAAATCAGAGTCTCTGTGGCCTCAGCATGGTCTCTGGAGATACAGATCTCTCAAGACAAGCACTGCTGCTGCTTTTGGGTCCATCCCATGCCCGGGCCAGACTCTGGACCCAGAGCAGTGGTGCAGGGGGTGCTGTGAAGGGAGCACAGCAGCCCCTCTCAGGAATTAGCAAACAGAATTAAGCTCTGGCCTACTTTAGGATTTTCCCTAATTCCTTCAGCTATTTCTACAGTTTTAGCAGGGCCGTGTGGCTCGCAGGGCTCATGCCACGAGTTCTGGGGGGCAGCCGGAGCCTCTGAGCCGCAAAGGCTGAGCAGGAAGAATCTGCTTCTCCTCCAGATCCCTGCATGAAAAACTCCAAATTCTGGGGCAAAACACACCCCCTGCCAAAGACCAGCACCTTCCCTGCAGCCTGTCCTGGGGAAGCACTGTAAAATAAAGGGAATGGAGGAAAAGGGAGTCCTTTTGCAGCGGTTCAGAATGGTCTCACAGCCTGGCAGCAGCTGCCATGTCCTGATGCAATACCCGTGCTCAGCATGCTCTGCTCAGGTCTCTCATCCCAAACCCTGGTACCAAGCAGCATTTCCAACCCCAGTGCCAGCCTGAGAACTAAACGGACGAAAAAAACACATTCCCACCACGTGCAAAGGTTAAAAAAACCAATTATTCTCAGAGCCAAGGGGCTCCCGGGTGGGTGCCAGCAACCCTGGCCTGGGGGCAGACAAAAAGGTTTCTAAAGCTGTGATGGGTTTGATGAAAGGCTGAGGGCATGAGCCCTCTGAAAGCTGCTAGGAGTGGGAAGAGGGGAAAGCGGTGAGTTTTTAAAGTGCTGTGTTACTTCTAGCCACAGCACTGAGGAGTTTTTGTTAAAAAACAGCCTGTCCTTACCTCCAGACCCACTGGCTAACCAAGGAGGAACACAGGTGCTCCGGCAAGCAAGAAAACGTAAACAGAATTTGGGCTCTTAGTTGGCCATAAAAAGCACAAGAGACTGATAACTAAAATTTAGATTTCTTATAATTTTCACCTAGAAAACACATCTGAGCATGAATTCCCCCCTACCCCCTTTTTTTAAAGGGAGATGCCACAGAACCTGAGAACTTCACTAGGAAGCAACAGCACGATCTTATTGAGCTTAATATTCAAAATTCAACAATTTCTCCGTGGAAACCCGCGGGGATGCCGAGCAGCCCCGGGCTCGTTCCTCCGCTCGCTCCCACCCTCCCTCCGTGCCCGGGACCGCGGGGACTCACTTTGAGCTGGGATTTGGACACCTTGCCGCTCTTCTCCACGTCCAG